GCTGTTTGTAGGGGTAGCAGTGCCTGAGATGATAATCAAGCCGAGACATCACAAAGGTACGCACAGCATCTAATTTCTGCCAGGGGAGTAATGCCGACCTGAGGATCTTAGTAAAATCCTTTTTGACTTTGCTCATGACTCGAAGGATTTGGCCTTGGTGTACGGTAGTTTCAAGTGCATCCTTGAGTCCAAGATACTTGTAGGCTTCCCCAAGCTTCACCACCGGCAAGACCTCATTGTGCAGCCGGAGTTGTACTGGATCTGGTTGCTGCCGGGTCATGCCCACCTTCCATCCCATTGTAGCGCATTTGGACGGGTTGGCCTCTAAACCTGTCCAGTGGAGGAATGCCTTCACCACCTGATGAAGGTTGCTGATCCCCTCACGGCTGTTGGCAACGGTCTTCAAGTCGTCTGCGTACGCCATATGGGAGATTTTGACTGCTGGCTTCCCGTCTGTCGTACGTAGTTCTAGGCCTGCATTGCATGCTGCCAGCCGTTGCAACAGCGGCTCAACGGCAAGGTTGAAAAGGATAGGGCTGAGAGGACAGCCTTGCTTGACTCCCCTCCTATTCTCTATTATTCCTGAGCAGCCCTCCTTCGTCAAGATGCTGAAGCTGGCTCCCTCATAGAGATCGCTGATGATCTCCTGAAGGTGCTTCGGAAGCCGCTGAGCCTGCAAGACAGTGTGTATAAGCTTGTGAGGAATGGACCCAAACGCATTTTTCAGGTCGTAGTAGGTCATGTACAGTGACTTCTTGCCCCTGCGTGTTGAGTTGAGGATGCTTTGAGCAAGAAACAGGTGCTCATGGCACCCATTCACCGGCATGAAGCCCTTCTGCGACGTTGAAGCGACTCCCGACTGGATTGCCCAGTCGGTGATCCTGCTGGCCCACATGGCGGCGTAGAGCTTGTAGATACAATCCTGCAGATTGATCGGTCGCCAGTTTTTAACACTCGTTGGATCTCCTCCTTTCGGGATCAATACCGTCACACTCTGCTTCCACTTCACTGGCACTTTTCGATGCTGGGAACAAGCGTTATATATCGCAGTCATCGCTGGAA